TCAATAGAAATTTGGATTAGAAATTCAAAAGGTACATTAGGTTTCTGGTTTGATGATGAAATGGTTAATCTGTAATCAGAACATATCTCTTTGTCGTTCACACCAGCAGGTCCTAGGCCAGCCAGTTCCACCCACCACAGCTCCAGAGCAGTTTCCACTACTAACTTCAGCAAAACACCCTTACCCAGGTCAAAAAAACAGCCCAGTGCAGCCTGGTGCTGAGAACATTGCCATTTTCAGATATCTAATCTACAAAGAAATACATCGCTGGTGTACGCTCATCACAAAAGTTTACATTGCCAAGATACTGAGCTTAAAGCATCTTTTTTTACATGCATGTGTTCATCTTACTGTTAGTTGACTCAAATAACTATTCAGTGTTTTGTGTTGTCATGCTTATCAATCATTAAGAAGATGGACTGTTTTTCCACTCTTTGATGCTAAAATATAGCAAATGGTGATCTGAGCTCAGAGATATTGTAACGCATTTGAATACTTCAGCTGTGGCTTCAGAGTACTGCAGTTACTCTTCAAGACAGTAAGCTAGCTTTAATTTAGTGAAGAATGTCCTATACTTAGCTGTGTTGAGATAACAACTGTTTCAGAGAGTGATGTTTCCGTTACATCTGCATTGTTTGCTCCCTTTTCTCATATTTATAATGTTCTTGTTGATCCAAGAGATGTTTTTTAAAAAATAAAAAAGATACTTGAAATATTATTTTGGTGTTTCGTATATTCTGTTCCTTATAAAATAAAGCTGCTCGTTCCAGCAGGTGTGCTATTTTACAACAAGCTCAATAGCATAATGGTGAACAGAACGTCTTTGTCTAATCTCTTCTCTCCTTAAACCAATGGAGCACATATACCACAATTGGTTATAACAATAGGTTGTGTAATTAGTGGGATAACGGCTTCTAAATGGGATTTCTTTGCAGGCTGGGGGGAATTAATTATTAATATTAAATATCCTATATAATTAGCTTAATAATATTTAGGTGTGTTATTGTAGAGTTGTAGGTGTATATAATGGTGAGGATATAGATTTTGGAGTACGAGCTACAATTATAAAGTTAAAGTTACACAATAATAACAGAGATATTAGTTCTCCGACACGCTTAGAAAGGGAGGGGTGAATGCAGGGGTATGTTGTTGCTTGCAATCTGCAACCTCACCACTAAATCTCACACACTGTTCCTTTTAAACAAGGCTACTTTAGCCTCAAATATGTCAAAAAGGCCAGTAACTCTGTTACTTCCTGAAATATTATTTTGATAATATTGATATATTACTTTTAAAAACACACACAATTGATGTGACTAAATACATATTTAGTCGTTGCTCTATATGAATATTAAAGGTGAAGGAATTAATTTATTGTCTACTAATTAGCGCAAATCGCAGTTCTGTCTATCTACGCATTCGAATCACCCGCCAAGTATTTCCTGAAACTAGCTTTAGTCTTTGTGAATCACGTGACGACCAGAATTGTTGAACTTCCGTTAACGCGACTCTCTCTTTATACGGCTCTGCCCCTATGCTCGCAACACCAACGTAATCTTTGCCAGGATGTGACGTTGCGTAGTTACCAGGCACCTTCACGCTGTCGGCAGCTAGCTGTAGCTTGTAGCCAGGTAAGATTTCGTTGTCTTTCAGCTAAAGTTAGCTAACCTAAGCAACTATAACATAGTTGGACTAAGTTAGCCAACATACTCTAGTTAACCGTTATCAAGATGAAAGTAGTATGTTTAAATCATGCTTGGCCTCCATGACGTATTACCATACTACACGGTGAAAAGTGTCTTTAGAGACCGTTACCATATATTGTTTGTCCATATCTCATTCTACATTTTATTGTAACGCTATATATACATTTGGTTTGTATTGAATATCTTCTAAATTCTCCATCACAGAGGACATCTGCACCAAAGCTGGATCTGTTTCTGCCAACCATACGTTATAATTGTGTGTTGATGCAGGTCATACATACAATTTAAGCAAGTTTTAAGATTTTACGACCTGATTTTCATGTTGTATGGAACTGAATGTAACCCAGTGGATTCAGTGCAGTGGTGAATAAAATCATCAAATCTCCAAAACAACGTAATAAAAACGTAATTTTTAGTTAATTGGTTGAAACATGAAAAACCATAGTCACAGTTCTTTGACTTTAACTCAACTTTAACATCTCAATCTTACACTACTTTATAGGTTCAGTGTGTTGGGGAAGTCTGCCATGTTCAACCCCAGTGAACTAGAAGGTGAAGTGGATCATTCGTTTTTTGACAGTGACTGTGATGATAGCAGCAGAGATGGAGTGGAAAAGATGGAGAAAGGCTTGAGGGCTGAAAAGGAGAGCCCACCAGCACCTGAGAGGCTACATGCAAAACAGACGAAAAAAACAGAAGGTGGTTTGTCTCCGAGGACAGATGAGACTAAAAAACACCTGAAGCTAGTCGACAACAGTGGCAGCAGAGCAGAAAGGCGAGAAAGCAGCTGTCAATCAAAGAAAGAAGAGAGTAGCAGGGCGTCCAGTGAATCATCTGTTGCCTGCACATCAGATAAAGCCACCCATATTAGCAGTGATGGTGAGGCAGACTCTGATTTGCAGTCTGAAAGGCACAATGGAACATTTATGGCGTTATTGGATGTGATCAGGGAGGTAGATTGTGAGGATGTGGATAGCCAGAGACCAAATGAGTATGAAGAAGATGCATTGCCATCCAAAAACTCAGGCTCAAAAGGGAGAAATGAACAATCTCCTAAAGAACAGATAAGAAATTCTCACACCCGGAGTCCATCCCCCACTTCAACTGAGAACAGCGTAGATGCAGACTCAGAGAGCTCCTCTAGCAGCAGAAGTGGGAGAAGCAGTGTATATTCCCCCACCCTTCCCAGGCCCAACAAGCTTTCTTTATACCCTGGAGTGAGAAGGACCCGCGCGGGCTCAGCAGGATCCCGGGACGTGCTTATCAGCCGTACAGAGGAGTCGGAGGATACAGTGACAGATGTGAGCCCCCTCTCCTCTCCTGACATCAGCCCTCTCCAGTCATTGGACCTGAACCACACAGAGGCTGAAGAGGGAAGCCCTAAAGAGCAGCAGCAGTTGGAGAGTGTGCCCTCCAGTGGCCTTAGCGACATGCATCAGGATGAGGACTCAGATCGGGATGTAGATGAGTGTGAGTAAAACTGCCGTCGTTGTCTGTCAGTTATGTTTTTGATGCTCTTTTTGGTTTCTGGCCCCTTAAAACTAAGCAATGTCTGTTTGTGACCACTCCGCTCTTAGACAAGAACATAACTTCTTACATATAACACATTGCAAACAACAGGCTTTGTCCTCTGTCCCAAACTTAACAAATATAAACTCCCACAAAAAAAAAGATTATCCTAAAATAATCATATAATAAAAAGTAAAACGTGAAATGGACTTTATGTTATAATCTCACCTAAATTGCACAACAAAGCCTCTTCTCTTCAGGAGACCATTAAACCTGCCTGTTTCTAAGCAAATGATATTTAACTGAACTACAGCACACAGAGGTTTTGAGCTTTTAGTTGAATTCATATACGGCTGTATACTGTAGTTCCTGAATATATTCGTAATTTAGATTTGCACTAAACGTCAACAGACGATCTTTCCCTACACCGTACATCAGGAACAATTCCCGCTGAGCATGTTGAATATTATACTGAAATGGATAACATTAAATTGAGATTCTACCTCACTTATACTAGAATGTTCTTGCAAAATGTAAATGATGGAATTACAAGGTATAGAAATGTTTAAAATTTAGTTTTTCACATGTTTTAGTAGTACACCATAAACAAAATAATTTCAACATGGCATAAAACACAATAACTCCTTTTTTAAAATGCAGATGAAGACATTGTAATAAACGTCCTTTTCACCAATCAGGCTCCCTCAGGTCAGAGAGTCAGCTTGGAGGTAAACTGGTTTTCTGCTGTACTGGGCCAAGAAACAGGAAGAACTACTCGTTCACCAACGATGAGGTCCGACGCATAGATCGCGAGAACCAGCGTCTTCTTCGTGAGCTTTCGCACCAATCTCCAGGGCCCAGACCAGGAAGTACAGCGAGGAAGAAAACCCACACGGCCAGCAAGTTGCCTCAGATTCGGTTCTCTCACAGCGCACTCAACAGGCAGCGGGAACAGCAACGCATCGAGAAGGAAAACTTGGTGAGTTTATCCTCCTGTGTGGAATGATACTCAATTTAATATAAAAACTAAACTCTAAACATTAGTAGTCTCTACATTCCATTCAATTTATTTTGTACAGCCCAAAATCACAAATTTGCCTCAGAGGGCTTTACAATCTGTACACGTGCGACATCCTCTGTCCCGGGACCCTCGCATCGGAACAGGAAAAACTCTCCCAAAAAACCTCTTTTAATAGGGAGAAAAAGAAGAAACCTTAGAGAGAGCAACAGAGGAGGGATCCCTCTAACAGGATGGACAGAAGTGTGACAGATGTCATGTGTACAGAATGAACAACATAACAGAGTTGCAACACATTCAATGCATGTGACAGAAATGATTCATATAATGAGAGTAGTAAGTATAATAATGATGGAAACATTACGACTACTAGTAATAACCGCAGAAGTGGATACAGTAGAATAACAATGATAATAAAATAAGTAATGGTATCGGCAATAGCAACAATGTGACTAATAATAACAAAGAAAGTAGCAGTGGGTGTCAGCGGGGCCACGGCAGGAGGCTGGACCAGGGTCCAGATAAAACCACGATCCATGGAAACCTGTGAGGCGAGAAAGCACAAAGGCTCCGGTGAAGAAGCAAAGTTAGTAATGAGACACAAACTTACACAGAAAGAGATCATTTTACAGAAAGTTTGTGATTTTTACAATAGGACAGCAACATAAAAAAACCATCTAAAGTAATTAATCCTCAGGTAGTAGGTTATACTGGTGCTGCTGTGTCTCTAGAAAATAATTTCACATTTCTAATTTGTGTAATCACGTCAATCAATACTGCTACTGAAATGCGTAGCTGATATTTCCTCATCTCTTGGTCATTTTATGTCACTGAGAATATACTGTGTGCCATTTAAGTAAATAAAATAATGTCTGTTTAATTTCCATCACACCATGCTTTCATCTTAATTAAAGCCTTACATGTTTTTATAAAATATATATTCATCCATTGCTTTTATTCTCAAATATTACTTTAAAAAATAGATGTATTCCTCAACTTCTCCAGGAAGGACTGGAAAGGATACTTTTAGCTGACTTGATTTTTGATTAAGTGTCCTTGTAATTTGTTTTAATCAGCAATTGTAGAAGCAGACAGAAAAACATTTTCTGGGAGAATTTGCAAATTAAGTAAGTAATTAGTGATACAATAGATAAACATGTTTTTGTAACTTTAGCCTGTGTGGTTTTCTGTGCAATATTACTTTATACTTTACTGTACTTTAGTTTACATTTATTTAAGGATACTAGTAAGTTGAGTTAAGAGTGCCTCCCCTAAAAGCAGACATGGATGGACTTGAACAGATGGCAGCAGGTGGCAAACTAGCAACGTCACAGAGTGACGTTATAAGACAGTTCAGCCTCTGTAGCTTTGGCCTCTCACCCCATGGATCAACTCTGCTTGACCACTTTGTGATAGAAGCAAACAGTTTTCAAAAGCAGTGTAGCTTGTAAGTGTCCTGTCGTGCTATGGTGTCTTTCTGCACAGCATGCATGTGGGAGTGTGACTGCATGTATGACATTCAACCACTTGCTTACACTGTTTTGCCTCATGCAGTTTGGTTGTGTTTGCTCTGAAGTCCCAGATATTTTCCGATTTACAAAATGTAATTAGGACCTGTAGAATGGGGACTATTTGTTCAGTGTTTCTGAGTGAAATACTATTCATTTTGTGAAATATACAGTCTTTATGAATGTGATATGGTGTTTTGTATGTTGTGGCTTAAAAGCCAGAACTAATGTGATCGACATTCAGCAAATGGCTCAATGAATCAAATGCTAGAAGAAGCTTTATAGTTCACGTAAAACTCCTGCTGCATTTTGAGGTTTTATTGTTCAATATATTAATTCTATATATTTATCTATACACTGTATATTTATACATGCCTACATCTTTTCAAGTTGAACCTGACCGATATCCTGAAAATGTACTTCAACCCTGATTTCCTTTTGCCAAGACAATTAGCATTCATAGAACATAGATTGTTTTGAATCATTACTTACTCTGTAAAAAATGTCATTTTGTTTCTTTCAGGCTTTTTTGAAGAGGCTGGAGTCCGTCAAGCCAACACCCGGCCTAAAGTGTTCAGAACAACTGAAGGACTACCAGAGAAACACCAGAATCGTGGGAGCTGCTTCATACCCCATCTGTATGTCCACCACAATGTCAGAGCGGTCGACCAGCAAGACGCCCTCAGGTAGGGACCTTAGGTCTGGATCTGCCAGCTTTTGCTGTGTTTAAAATGTGCTGTATAACCTAAACAGCATAACAACATGGTGATTGAGTACCTCCTCATACAAGCCAAACAGATTAGTAGACTTACTGATGTTCCCCATGCCATATATTTAACATGGTTGAAGAGTTTCTAGTTACATTATGTCGAATTGTGTAAAATTAATGTCATTGCTGGGTTCAAGATTCAAACTTTAAATATTTTGCCAACAGTAGATAGTTGTTGTTTTTTTTAACTCTGATAGTTTGTGTGTGTTTATTATGTCCTGTTATGGTTGAAATGGTCAAATATTAAATGTAAGTGATATATTGTCTTCTCAATAGAAATTTGGATTAGAAATTCAAAAGGTACATTAGGTTTCTGATTTGATGATGAAATGGTTAATCTGTAATCAGAACATATCTCTTTGTCGTTCACACCAGCAGGTCCTAGGCCAGCCAGTTCCACCCATTACAGCTCCAGAGCAGTTTACACTACTAACTTCAGCAAAACACCCTTACCCAGGTCAAAAAAACAGCCCAGTGCAGCCTGGTGCTGAGAACATTGCCATTTTCAGATATCTAATCTACAAAGAAATACATCGCTTTAAACAATAAAAAAGATACTTGAAATATTATTTTGGTGTTACGTATTTCTGTTCCTTATAAAATAAAGCTGCCTGTTCCAGCAGGTAGTGGTGTGCTATTTTTTTATTTTATAACAAGCTCAATAGCATAATGTTGAACAGAACATCTTTGTCTAATCTCTTCTCTCCTTAAACCAATGGAGCACATATACCACAATTGGTTATAACAATAGGTTGTTGGTTAGGGGAGTGGTTGTACATACTCAATATATGTATGTGGTACTCATAACATTATGAAAAGGTTCTATACAAAACCAAAAACCTCTCAGCTTTATGGTGGATATTGTTCATCAGTGGAGCAGGTGTCACTGCAAAATTGATGAATTCACATATTTGAACAGATTTTTTTGCCAAGACGTCTACCATAAATGAAAATCAAGGTGCACTTACTGAATGTCACTTTCCAATGTAAAGATTGTGGAAAATGTTAATAGAATCCTTATTACTGTGTTTTAACTGCATTGTGTTCTATAGCTTTTTCACTGAAGGCTGTTGACATGTAACAGCACAGATGTGAGTAATAAAGTCAATGATTGCTGTCTTCCATTTAGCTGCTTTAGTTTCAGGGTCCTGGTATTATGCATGCTGGCTCTGAAACACTTGAATAGAACAGAGCCATCCTTATTGCCATAAGTGACAGATTTTGTTTGTGTTAATATAAGTCAGAAGGTCTACTGTGAAAAAGGTACATTTAACTGCAGATGACAGGGTGCCCCGACAACAGAGCATGCATCAAAAACACTGGATTAATGGACTAATAAATCTTTATTCTTTATAAAATAATGTGTGAGGTGGGATACATGGCTCAGAGTGGTCACAACATAACGAAACAAGAGCTTCAGCAACTGCTTTACCAACTGACTGACATATGAGGAGTAGTTACGTCATATCTTGCATCATCACAATATCTCCAATGAAACACCGGCTTGACTTTGTCAAGTTGAAATAACTGTTTGTACCTCGTAGATAGGATATATACAGATCCCTGAGGAGGCATGTTAACCCAGGTCAAGTATAGCTACCTTTACAGTACATGCCCACATTGTAATTCACCACAAGCTGTTTTCACTCTATCACAAGAATTAAGACTTATTAAAGTGAAGGGTTTCTTTGGGGACTGGGAGATTAGAAAGTTTATGTGTACTTCTTGATCTCGTCATACAGCACCAACACAAAGGCACCACCCATGCCTCTGATCACGTTAGACCAGGCGCCCTTGAAGAAGGCTTTTCCTCCCTCGTCCTTAAGGATCTTCTTCCAGCAGTCAATTGTGCCTTTGTACATGATGTCAGCTGTGGACACGGAGACATGGATAGTGAACCATAATGCCCATGGATGCATGCGTAAAATGCGTAATTGGGCAAAAAACAATCAAATGCATCACTAGATTACACAAGCATGAGTGACGCTCACCTCCTTTCCGTCCAGACTGCATCATCATACGACGTCTGACGGTGTCGAAGGGGTATGAGATTATACCAGCTGCAGCGGTGACAGTCTGGGCGATCATCCAGGTGACGACGATATGCGTGTTCTTGGGATCTGGCAGCATACCTGCATGATGGAGGAATTAAATCGCAAGCTCGACACGAAATACAAAATAAACATACTACTTTAAGAACATGTTTCGATCGACCAGATGTGCGCACCTTTAGCTGTGTCGAAGCATCCAAAGTAGGCCGCTCTGTAGATGATAATACCCTGCACTGACACGTTAAATCCGAGGTAAAGACCCTTGAGGCCAGCGGCTTTGTAGATCGTTGAGAGGCAGTTTCCAAGACCGCTGAACTCTCTCCCAGATGCGCCCTTGCCGATGTCGGCAGCGAGTCTTGTTCTGGCGAAGTCGAGAGGGTAGACGAAGCAGAGCGAAGTCGCCCCAGCGGCACCGCCAGATGCGAGATTACCAGCGAAGTAACGCCAGAATTGTGTTTTTTGATCCACACCACCGAGGAAGACCTTCTTGTACTTGTCTTTGAAGGCAAAGTTGAGGGCTTGGGTGGGAAAGTAACGGATCACGTTGGCCAGGTTGCCTCTCCAAAAGGAAATAAAGCCCTGTTCTTTTGGGATCCTTACCACACAGTCCATTATTCCCTTGTACTGCATATCTACGGTGATCTGTTTGCTGGCATGCTGGACCTACGAGTAAAGACAATAAAAGGACATTCAAAAATACTCGTATAACTTCCTCAAACTGTGGTTAATTATCTTGTAAAACGCTGCGCAATGGAACTTTGTCATGCACAAGTTTCTATTAGCAACAGAATATTGTTTTGTATTGCAATTGTAATAACTTCTACCTATAATTTGCCGGCCAGGCATTACTGTGTGTAGTTGTAGGCCTTATTCAGTCTACATGCACACTCCTGTCACTTGAGAATCAGCTGTATATTAGATTACAGTTCAAGTTAAATTTAGCAATTGAATTGCACTAGATATTACTGCGGTCGTCTGTTATATTGAAGTATAGAATACTTAGCTTGTTAAACGTACAAATAGCTCACAAACTACTGTTATGGCAATTTTTTGACTTATATTTGGAGTCCTTGTCACCATTTCCATCATTGAAGCAACATTGCAAAGTCCAATGCGTAAAACCATCTCCACATCGACCCAGGTCCTCTCACGTGCCCCTTGATTTTATACACCTATAGGAACTTACACAGTGCATACCTTTTTTCTATCAACATCCATTCAAGATTTACATTTTAACGTTTGGTTTATCACTAACCCAACATTTACGCACACTTTATGCACAAAATAATGACCATGCGGCCATGCGTTTGGCATCAGATCGTTCCATTATTTTACCTGCAGCAACAACTTTACTCTCTCAATGGGAGCGACAGCTGTTTTGGAGATGGCAGCGGCAATGCCACCGGCCAAAAAGTCCTTCATGAAACTAATCACCGCGTCCGACATGGTTGGATCTTTCTTGTGCAGATTTGAGACCCCTGACTGATCCAAACTTCACCAAGGTCCTCAAACGCCCATCGAAGTGTGCAAGCCCTCCCATCTGTCCTAATATATCTGCGCCATGTATCGCGAGACATTTCAGTGATGGATTTGTGTTTTGTCGAACAGATAAACGAGGCTGAATAAATATCCGAGGTTGAAGGTTAAGACGTGCGCCATGTTCCTGAAGTCAGGACTAGGCCAAGCCAGGGACGTTTAAAGGACACAATATGTGTAATTTGATTATTATTAAAACATAGATATATTTGTCATCTAATAATCATAACCATAGTAAAGTAGTTGCCTTAATTCCTGCTGATCCAAGCCTCTTCATCCATAATCCAAACATACACGGTGGTCAATTGAGTTTCCAGCAGCCTTATTAAAATAAAGATAGGAGTTTTAGGAAATGTGTCTTAAATGGTGCCATCTGTGGTGAACTTCGTACAGTCATAAATCATTTTTAACGTTTCACAGCATATGTGTGGTATGGCCCTGGAAATAAAGAGACTCAGGCACAGTGGGTTTTTTTATTCCATTATTTTCACACATAAACGTGCTTTTAGGCTATAAAGACCATGACAAATTAAAGCCTATTTTCATTACACCATGAGGGATGAAACTTCAGGTTCAAATGTTGATTCTGGGTCAGAGGTCGGATGGATGAGGAACTAAAAGGGAAATAAGGAAAAAGGGAAACAGAAAAACTGTCAGCTCACTAACAGCTCACTGTCAGCTCACTCACTGACCGTTTTGCTGCACATACATTTTTGCCACCTGTCCGAAACCCGAATCAAGTCAGCTGGGGACGAGGAGATACAACGGAAAATATCATTTTTTCTTTCAAAATAAATGCCACCAATACCCATATAAAAGCAACAACATTGTTTTAGTCAATTTTGTTGTGAAGTATCGTACCGAAAATCTAATACTGGCTGACTTGACAAATGGGACATCACAAGTGCCTCGTGCCCGCAGTGCGACACGAACAAGCAATATGATCCAAAACGAAGCCAACTTGGCTGAAGGGACGTTGGCCACAATGTACTACAGCTTATAGTCCAGCAGTGTGGTTCGGTCCAAGACTGCTTCATTCATATGATTAGAAAAAGTGTGTCTTTCAATACATAAACTATTGCAATAACAAATGTCCTGGTGGCAAGATCGGTTTTATAATTACAAACACCCTCAGTGTCAAACACGAGATTTTTCTGAAAAGGATTTGAAAGAAATATCAATAACTAAATACTTATTCAATTGAAATAACCTGATAATACAATAGAATACGTTTTAAAGGGTTTCACCCTCCTTATAGGACTGTAACTGCCACCCCACCTCACGACCACTTGGTGGCGCTGCTTGACTGTGTTGATTCATTGTCAAACTTACAAGGTGTAAGATGTTTCCCAACAGGACAATATTAAATTACTAACACCACTCATAAATCCTCAATAAAAATGATATTATCATATCACTAATTCTTACGAAATCGCTCTAGCTTGTTTTTATAGATTATTTTTTTAAAGTGAGGGAAATGTAAGTGGGGTAGTAGACCCTCATGCTAACAGGATGAGTAAAACAACATTGAGACTTCTCATAAAACCTTGATCTATAGTGTTGTTGTGCATAGATTTAAACTTACAGAGTAAACTGGTATAATGGCTTGTCTGAAGTTTTCTTTGGTTGTGGTTCTGCTTTCCCATCCCCATGCTGCTGTGTTGTGCTGTCTAGTCAGTGGGTGGCACTAGAGAGCTGGTTTACATTAAAGGGCATCACTGACATCCCCAGAGGGCGAATGTGGTACCCAGTGAAACAGGTGCTTTTCCTAATTTACTCCACACTCCACTCACAACAATACAAATAATGCACCACTTTACTGGTTCCCCTCAGAGAAATCTTCTTAAGTAGCCCCCACCAGCCAGGTCAGAGGTCAGGACCAGCTGCAAGGCATACAACCTCAGAGCTGGTTAGGGATTCAGCATCTTGTTCACGTGAACACTTC